TATTGTCACCGGTGATGAAAAATGGATTTTCTATGCGAATATTAAACGCCAAAATCAATGGCTCAGTTTTAGACTCGCAGAAATGATGCTTTGCATTTGGCAGGACATCAAAGGAGTAATTCATTTCGAACTCCTCAATACATTACGTATCAATGCAGAGATCTACAGTCAGCAACTTCATCAGAAACGTCCTTCAAGGTGTTCTTCTCCACGACAATGCACCTCCACATGTAGCACGTTTGAAGCAATACAAGATTATGGAATTGGGTTGGGAAGTTCTCCATCCATATTCTCCATATTTGGCACCATCAGATTACCATCTATTTCGTTCGCTGCAACACCATCTTAATGGGAAAACGTATGCAAATGTGGAAGGTGTTAAAGAGGACATTGACATGTTTTTTGCTTCAGAGCCAAGTGATTTCTTTAATCAGGGCATTAACAACTTGATTGTAAAATGGAAAAGCATCATTGATAAGAATGGAGACTATTTCATTTAATAAATGTTTTGTTTTGATATACAAGTTGTTGGGTTTCTTCATCTAATGAAAAGTGACATTAATTGTTACTAAACTCAAGGTCCTCAAACCACTTATGAAAAGTAGGAAGTTAAAAACCTTAAAACTAAGAATAAGTAGAAAGAGGTGATAAACTTACAGGTTAATCAACAAGTTTTTTTTATCATGTTGGATATTGATTAACACCATCATAAACAGCTGGAAAAATTGTTGTTCTGAAAACTCCAAAAGAAACCAATAAATTTGGTTATCCCTAATAAACTTGTGTGCCATTTCAACCCATTAAACAGATGATAAATTACTTAATTGTTACTCATGTCTCCACAAAAAGCTTATAAACTTGTAGTCATTCCAACCTCTGAAAGAAGATGATAAATAAGTTTCATGTCACTTTATCTTCTATTTTTAATTACAAAGAAAAGCAACTTGCTTACTGAATTCTAGATTTTGAAGTCACAGAGGTCAAAAAGTTTATAATTGTGGATAAAAAAATTTTGTTCCCCAGTGACACAGCAGTATGTCTGGAGACCTACAAGTTAGAAACCGGTTTTTGATACTCATGGTGGGCAGAGCACAGATAGCCCATTGTGTAGCTTTGTGTTTAAACTACATATAAACAAACAAAATAAGATTTCTAGGAATTGAAACTATTCCTAAATCCGAAGATAATGTTAGGAAAACACATAGATACAAACAAATCAATTAAAGAAGAAAAGTCTACTTTTTGAAAGTGCTTAGGTTATAAAGTTTCTTATTTTTGTTCCAAGTTCAAATATTAAGAAAATGGCCACCTCAATGCACATAAAGTTCCTGAAATATACAAGTGAAAATAGTATTTAAAATAAAGTTCTCTAGCTTTGATTAGATTCCAGAAAGTTTCATACACTGTTCATAAAAGGTAAAGTTATAAATAATACACAGGTGAAGCATATCATTGCAAATAATATCCTTTATTGTACAGTCTACAATCAAATTTTGCTTTTAGTCATAAACCCCTGTTTAATATACATGCTAATTTCAATGAAATACTTCTATAGAATCCATTTCATGTTTGGCAATTAAAATATTCACATATTGTTTGAAAATAAGTTACAATTTTTTTTAATGTTACAATCAACTAAGAAAGAAATGCAGCTGATAAGTCTTTTTATCTTTACATTCATTCCCAAAAATCCTCTTATCAGTAATTTCTGTTTTTAAAATAGTTTTGAGAATTACTGATATATCAGATATACCTAACAGTTACTTTTGCATAAAAATAAACACATTTACATTTTAAATTTTAAATTTCTTGTTCTATAAAAGAATGTCAGCTTCTTTATCATTTGCAAATGTATGAAAGTTATTTTTCCACATACATGTATGCAAACTCACAGATAAAAAAAAAAAACCCGCCAATTTTGACCTAATTTTATCCTTAACAAACTGTGATGGACAAATGACTAAATTAAGTTTTTCAAATGTAATGCATAATGATTTGCAAGATACCTTTAAGAAAATGTACAAAATGGGAATTAGTTATTAGATAGAACTGAACCATGCTTAAACTTTGTTTTGTTTTCTCCTCTATAATCACGATTCCAAATACACCCAGCAATGCATCTATCTAGTCTCATGCTAAATTACAAATCTTTCAATTTACATGTGAATACTGTATCCATTCAAACTGAATTAAAACATCTGTAACCTTATGATTATTACTGAATATTCACTAGTAACTCATGATCACTTTAAAACAACTCATAAAATAACAAGTGTTTGCTTATTTAGTTGAAAAGAAATATGTATAATACAAACTTCCTTAAATATATTTTATGGGTACATCTTTACCTGGCTTGGTATCTACATTTTCCAAGCCATATGCTTCTGCAGAAGGTATTTCCAAAAACATTTTTCGAGAAATGACAAACACTAGTAAATAATTTAAAAAACATAACAATATAGGAAGTAGATGCCTTTCCCTTATAGAAACTCTGAGAGGTTGAAAACTCATGTTATTATATAAATAACACATCCTACAAAGCGGGAAACAAAAATGCATTAAACTTTCTTTAACTTACACAGAATTCCCAACAGATCTTTCAGTAGTCTAAGTGAAAACAAAACAAAACACATACACAAAAACTTTACATACAATTTTTTTAAAATAAATTATATTAATTTTTTTCCATTCCATTCAGAGATTTCCCAGACTGTTAGTAGTTCATAAACACACTCCCTCCTAGGTAACTTACGTTTTTCAAATCATTCTGAAATTAGTCAGCTGGAAATATTTGGAAATGTCATACTAATGTTAACTTGAATTTTTTTCATAATTTCATATTCTCGCCTGTGATTTAATCACTGCAACAGAAAATTCAATACAAAATATTTGACCATAAATTTTTTTTATTATAAAAATATTCTTGATATTGAAACTACTAGTATAAGAAAGAGTAGAATCTAGGTAAAATAATTTGTATTAGTAACTTTTAATGTATTACAGTGATATATATATTATAGATTGCTGAATGATTCCAACACACTCAAGGTAACAATGGTTACTTCAAAAATCTCTTGCATTTACATTAAAATGTATCAAACTGAGAGGGAAATTACTTACACTCAAAACAAGCACATTATCATCACACTTCCTGTCTACTCTTCATGTTCATCAGCATATGAGGCTGATTAATTACATGAACATTTTAAAAAGAATACTCAAATTGTTAAACTTTACAACAAGCCAGTATTTTCACTCTTCAAACTATTTAGACATTTATCAGTGATGGTTATCAGACTTTATATTATCAAAGAAGATATACTGTATAAATAGATTTGACTTTGTCCTTCTTTTCTCATATATTGTTTGTTCATTTTTTTATTATGTTAGATTTCTGTTAAACTACAAAAGTCCTCTTTTTTTACACAGACAAACAAGTCCACTAACAATGATTTAAGCGCAATTATAAAAATTCATAAAATCCCTTCCAGTGCTTAATGTCCAAGCAGCAAAAATCATCTAAAGGCTTATCTAGTTGTTTTATGTATATAGGTAAATATATGATTAATGGTAACTTTGTATCTATCAAAGTATTTAAAATCACATATTTGTATTGACACATTAGAATATTAAAGATCATGTTAACAAACTGTCAACAATACTCAACATCCATATGTATGTGTTAATTCAATGGCTTAAAATTCAAGTCACTTGTAAGTGTAAATTCTTTAAATGAAATGAAACAATTAACACATAAGATCAAAATGTTGTGGTCAGTAATATAGAAATGAATATCATATATATATATATATATATACTAAAATAAAAGTATATCGCAAAATTATTAATACTTCAAATGCAAACAGTAAATGACATATTGTAGTTAAAGCATAGGTTAAATGCATCTCATCAGCAATGTCTACCAACACTTGACATGTATCAGTGCAAATACTAAGTAGAAGCTTGTTTGAAACTTAAAAGACTCTCTAATAAGTTTGCTTTATTATTACACTACATAATCCTTAAAGAACTGCTTTTTAGTTTGAGACTAGATTCTTTAATGGGGAAGTTAAATGCCTGAAAGGTCTCATTGCACAGTGCCAACATCAGATTGTAACAATGACAACACTTAGTTTAAATGTTTACTTTTCTTAGATAATTAGCATCAAATATGGCTTCCAAAAGTTCCAAGTGTTCTATTAAAATAGCTCCCATAATGCTTAAATAGTTACTGACAATGGAATATATATACATGGAAACTAAAGACAAGTTATACAAGCATTTAGAAACCTTGCTTGTAAAGTAAAGTAAACATTTTCCTGCACTGAAAATGTATTTCTGATAGATACTTACCTCCCTCACATATTAGCTTTCCTGATTTGGTGCTGCCCTCTATATATGCAACTTTTGCTAACCACTAGCTTTGAAACTCTCATCTAAATTCACAAGTTTCCATGTGATACTGCTATGCTGTTGCATGCAAATGAATGTGCGACAACCCTTTACGAATAGGACTGCAACACATCCTCCTAGAACAGTTGGCTCCCTCGATACTGATCATTGAATCATCACTTCAATATTAAGGAAGAAAAGATGCACCAGAAGTGGGGATGATGGGAGGAATGTGTGAGGGGTGGTAAGTATCTATCAGAAATACATTTTCAGTGTAGGAAAATGTTAACTTCTGATACAATGCCATACCTCTTCTTACATATTAGCTAGAATCCCACAATGAAGTGGTGGAAGGATTGGTGCAAAACCTAGATGAGCCCTCTTCAGAAAGTAACCAAAGAGAACCCATAGAGTGTGAAAATAATGGAAACATATAGGGGCACACTTGCGGGAGACAGCACCATATTATTACCAGGGTACACACACTGCTCATATTGATTATGTGTCACTAAGGCAGGTGGAAAATAAGCACAGTCTAAAATCTGAGTATGGAACATTGACATGCCAAATGGTGTGGTGTGGCTAGGGCATGTCAGTTTGTACATAGTGGGTCAACTCCAGTCCAAAACCAGGTGAAATCGAGTATTGTTTGTCCAGTTCATGGTAGGAGGAGAGTTCCTACCAACCACATGAGTGAGGACTTGGCTCATGTTGGCTGATTCTGAGCTTATCCAACACCAGACTGCACAGGAACCAACATCCAGGCAGCAGTAGGATGGAGGAACTGTATATGGTGAGCCATCTTCAGTCCAAAACCAGGAAGCATCGGGAATTTGACATCTGTTCCATGGAAGGAAGAGGGTCCACACCATCTACATGAACAGAACACCACCATCCTATTCTCTACTGAGTGGAAGGAGTCACACTCAGGAGGTAGCCTCTATGATCCACCACCCTAGCAGCTAGGAACTGGTGAATGGCAAGGACTTCCGTACTTCACAAAATGGGGGAAACTCACTGGGGAGCCTGGATGAGTTGAATACCAGAAGACAGTGCAATTGATGACCATGTGTTTAAACCTTATTTATAAAAGCAGGCCAGTTCCAGTCTATTCAACTAGAACAAGAAGGATGGGCAGCTGTCTCGACACTGCTTTGCTCATGATAGTACATGAGTAGGTACAGGCTGGATTGGGACTTTTTTAGTAAATAATATATACCACAAGGATACCTCTAGCAGTCTTGTGAATCTCCCCATTTCATCAGTGAGTGCTATCAGGCCTGAAATGGCCCCACAGTGCAGATTTATTTAAGTATGCCCTAGCAGGTACCACATGCCACCTAATGGGATCATGTGACATACAAGATGCCCTATAAAGGTAAGAGAAAAAGAAAGATAACTTATCTAGTCAGAGCTGGTAAGGTGTATGTAGAATGGTGATGGGAGGTTTCCATTCTGAGCCTGACAAAGAAGAAACGGACAGATGACGAAGACAATGTTTGATGAAAGTATGTGATGCTGTCAACATGCACAATCTCCTCCAATGGATGATGGAATTGAGTAGCCAGAAAGGGAGTAAGGTGTCAGTTTTGAAGAGAGGTTACTTGGAAGAGTCAATGCAAATCTTCATTCAATGAAGCATAAGCTAAATTGGTGAATTGATGAAGCCATCCTGTGAGAGTAATGGGAGAAATATCACAGGTAGAAGAATAAATAGATGGGTGTGGAAACCTCAGTAAAGGAGCAGTGCAGGTCAAATAACACAGAACCACATGCATAGGACAGAGAAGGTAATTAGAATCAGATCAAGAATGAAGGTGAGAAATGGATGGAAGTGAAATAGGATTGAACATGCAGTTTCCATCATGACCTGCAGACGTTTTAGGTAGAAAGGCATTATCAGGATAAAGAAGAGTATACGAACATTGGAAAATAACATGGGAAGACTCAATGCATACATGTCAGAACTTTGATGGAGTACGAAATAGGTTTTAGGTGAAAGATGGTACAAGGAACAAGAGGCTAAAGGGAAGAAGGGTAAGGATGTGGAGAACAACATTCAGGACCTAATTAAGAGGGACAGCAGGACAGAGAGGACAAAGTTGTTGAAAAGAATGGAAGAGCATAGAAATGACAGGAGAGGTGAATACATGATAGTAAAGGGAAGACCAGAAAGTATTAGGTAGTGCTGCCCTGTAGCTAGCAATGGTTAACAGAGATAAACATTGGTCAAATAGCCAGGTAATAAATTCAGAAAGACTGGAGGGTAGGCATAGGGGAAAAGGTTAAACCAGTCCTGAATGAACACATCCACATCTAGAGCTAATGGATGAGGAACAGGAGACTAGAAAAGGGGAAGTTTGGTGTTGAGATGAGTGATAAATACATCTATAAGATGAGTGGCCAGATGAGAGTACAGCCACCTGAATACATGAAGATCAGGGACCACTCCATAGGTAATATCGTGTTGGGTCTCGAGGTGAGATCCAAGACATGATTCAGGACACACAGAATATGACAAGCCATTAGCTGTACTTGAAAAAAATGGGCCCAGAAAAGGAAGTTGAGAGTGTGGAAACAGAGAGAGCAAGACTATCCTGCACTATCCTAGTGATTGATATAAGAGACAACTGTAGAGTTGTTGGTATGGATAATAACAACACATCCTCAAACCACCAGAAGAAAATGATCCAATGCTCAATGTACCACTAAAATTTCTAAGAGATTGATATGAAGGGCTGATTCTTTGTGGGACCACTGATCAGAAATCTCTTGAGTTGAGATATGCTCCCCATCCTGTCAAGAATGCATCTATAAGTAGATGGAGATCCAGATGAGAGGGAGTTAGAGGTACTCCCACTGTTGTATTGATTTTGTCAAGCCAACAGGTAAAGTCGTTGAGTGCAGAAGGAGGAAGATGAATGGCAGAGGACAAAGGATTCCAAGAGATGTTCCACTGATTGTGCACAGACCACTGTAGATGTTGCATATGAGCACGACCCAATGGAATAAGGATTTTTATGGTTTCATGGAAGCTCAACACACACATTTTGGAAATAATTATTTTTTTAATTCAAAAGTATGGGTCACTTTTATGCTATTTACCTCAGTAATTAATATTGTAAGTTTATAAAAGCTGATTTACTGGAGGAAGATTTTATAAATCACTTTATATAATGTAGAAATTTGTTTAAAAGTTTTATAACCTATTAGTTTGAAACATAATTTAAAGAAGTTGGACACTTGCATGAGTGTTACTCTTAGAAATATAGAATCAACTATACTGTCTAGTACAAACTGAGTAGAACTTTTGTGAGCTTCCAACTTGATTTGTATAACCACGTTTGTTTTAACTGATCAGGAGATAACAAGCACACGTAAAGAATATGTTGGAAAATAAAAGTGCAAAAGTTGTTTAATAAACAAATACATCTACAACCCTATATAGAAAATTAATACAAGACCTTCGAACTGTTAGTTTTCACATGTGATCTTATATATACACACACACACACCTGATAACTAGTCTATTGACTTCCATTCACAGCCTGCTCACTAATTGACAGTTCAGGGTCTTGATCAGGTTCCACTACTGTCATTACTAAATCACAGTTCTCAGGAATACCCTCCTCACCAACTCCTTCTGAAGATGAAGTGGTAAGTTTCTTGGTTTGATGGGTTTTCAGATGCTTTGATAAATGGTCACTCCTCATGAAGCGTTTCAAACACTCAGCACACTGGAACCTTTTCTCTCCTGCAATGTACTTGTACGTAAATATGAAAAACCTCTGATACCAGTATTATAAATATCTTTATTTCAGTGAAATTGGTCATTTATGTTGAAACAGTGCCTTATTGAAATAAAATCTACAGTATGAAGAAGCAACCAATTTGTTACAATCAAGTAACTTATGTTATTTTATCATCAAAAATTTTGTTCTGCATATATTTTTAAAATTACACAGACCTATGTTGTAAATACTTAAAACTATCAGTAATAATTATTCACAACCACTAACAAGTCTGACTAGTTTGCAGTAGTCAAGTTAACAAAATTACTAACTGTTTATGTGTTTATGAAGTAAACTGTGGCACTGATATACTACTTTACTATAATTTCCAATACTGAAAGAATGAATACATTATATGTATATACCACATAACCAAGTGACATTTAACTGTTAGTCCATAATGCATAACTTTATTTATTAAACATTTCATTCCTAATTAAGCTATTTTACTAATACATATATAAAATTACATCTCAGTTTCAATTTGTAGTATGAAGTGTTTAAGCAGTTCTACACCTGAAAAACTTGCCAAATATTTTTCTTTTGTTTTTGCTAGCTGATTCCTGTTGTTATGCAGTAACTTACCTACTTTTTAGGGAGACAAAATTCTTTCAAATTCTGCACAATGCTTAATATGCAAGACAGAAAGCCTTAGAAAAGTGATCAGAAAGACTACATCTTTAAGAACTAGTAAGTATGTGGGTGTTCTAAGTGTAATAATGTAAAATAACTAATAATAAAAAACATCAAAAGATTAGATGACTTTAGCACTGATGGATATGTTTTCTGGTATACATTATTTTTTGACATAATTGTAAGAAAAATCTGTATTTCTCCAGTAACAGGACACCCTTAAAATGTACTTAAATTGTTCTTTCAGACCCATAAAATGGGTTAATAAATAACAATGTAACAAAACAGTTAATAGTTTATTTTTCATAGGAAGCTTTACACTGCTAGGGATCCAACAACAAAGCAGCTGAATGAAGAAAAAACATCTTGTCATTATCTTATTTTGTTGTTAAGTGGTAAAACTGGTATAAAATTAGAGAATTCTTCAATTACAAAATATAATTGAAACTCTATAAACAATTAATAGCCAATTAAAAATACAGTATTTCACATGAAAATTATACAAATCAACACACCATTCATCTCAAAACTCAGAATCATGAACTTATCTTGGAATGATGTGTTACAGAACTCTTCTCTACAGATGTGAAATACTTGTCAACAAGGTGATGCAATCTTTGAGTACTAGTCAATCTTCAACCAGATAAAAGTTTTAAGACTTGAAAGTCATTGTCAAGTAATGACTCACAGAAATCCATTAAAATAATCAATGCAATAGCTCTCCACAAAATTAACATAAAAACGGAATTCCAAGTTGTATTGGTACCTCATAAATCTAAACCATTAACTATGATAAACAAAAGAGCTTTATCAATTGCTTAGAATTAGAAAGTTAACAAAGCTATCTCGACCTTCATATGCCCTCTAAGCATTGCTAAAGTTTTGAACAGTGCACCAGTCTTTATACCCCTTCATTTTTGCATCATTGCAGCAACACGTGCTGATCATGTGACTACACTCTACCAATACTGCACCACCTATACTAGTGCAGGTAGCTCCCTCTATCATTCCAGCACAATCCTCACTTTCAAGAATTGGCATATACAAACCAGAAACACTTTTTAATCAGTGTGGAAGAAGGGCAGAAAGTGGGTGATAGGAGGTAAGTACCTATCGGAAATACATTTTCAGTGTTAGAAAATGTTAATTTCCAAAATGGTACTATCTCCACTCACCCAAAGCCACAATCCCACATTGCAAAGGTGGAGGGGCCAGTGAAGGCCCAAAACAATCAAACAAGCGGAGAACAACTGCTGTGAAAGAATACATGTGCCACAATTAAAATAGGAGGCACACCCGTGGGGTATAGCACTACTTCTGGAACAGGTATTCTTTTCGCCCAGTAAAGAAGAAAGGAAGACACATTGGGTAGAACCGAATAGAATACATGGCTATGGTTAAAGGACGGTAAATATATATGAATAGGGGAAGTGCGGTAAACATGGGCTGAAAATATCCAGGGGAAGTGCCTTGCATAAGACTGATCATGGTATATTGTGATTGTAACAAAATGAGAGATCAACAAGTGCAGTCCACCCAGGCAGAAAACATCTGGGGGGGAAGTGCCTTGTGATAAGTGGTAGTATGACAAGTGTGGTCCATCCAGTAGAAGTGCTTTGGATAAGATTGTTGGTAGGAAAGGTATTGAGAGGTGAACAAATGTGGTCCACATGGACTAAAACATCCAGGAGAAGTGCCTTGCATAAAAAAAATAGTATGAACAATTGCAGTCATCCTGGGCAAGAACATCCAAGAGAAGTACCTTGTGGTTATTGAGTATAGCAGAAAACATCCAGTGGAATGCATCAATAGTGCATGTCAAGATCAACAAGTGTGGGCAAACTGGGCAAGAAATATCTGGGAGAAGTGCCTTGGATAGAGAATATTATGATAGTGCATAATACGAAGCATTATAACAAGAGCCCTCATCTCACAGAGTGGATACATATGACTAGGAAGTTTTAATTATTATACAAATCCCATTCTTGAGGAAACCTCCACAGTCCACCACTACAGTGACTGGGACCCAGAAGTGGTAAGGATCCCCTTGCTCCACTAGAAAAAAAGAGGGGAAAATACACATTGGTGGGTCTGGAGGAACGACACACTGGAGACAGTGCAATGGGCATCTGCATTTCCGTATTTTCAAAAGCAGGAAGACCCTGATTGTAAGAATCATGGGTCAGTAGGGGTGGGCAAAAATCCCTATCTGCTTTATTCAGGAAGTCCACAAATGACTATCCACAGTATATATATATATATTGATAAAAAAAGTGACATATAGATATGGATACACCACCGTATAAGAGGCCAGTGGTCGTACAGAAACACCTCATTTCCAAAGTGAGCATTAGAAAAATATGCAAAGTTAGTGCTAAGATAAAAATCCAGCATATCTGACCAGGCAACACCTGGCAATATGTGGGATCCTGAAATACAATGTAAAGCACCTTGAAAAGAAAAAGGCAAAAAAATAGATAAAATGTAGCATGTCAACTTACCCCAGTTAAAGGTGAATAGATGATACCCGACAGAGGAAGACACAGCTAGATCGTGCAAATAATGTGCGACAAAAGTATTGGGTATTGTCCACATACCAACTTGAATAATCTCCTCCAATGGTTGGCAGATCACAGCATAGAAGGACATAGTTATAAATGGTGTATTTGGTGCAAAGAAACACTAAACAGCTGAGAACCTTCCACTGACAACTCAGAATAAGCTAGTTGCATGAGTTGTCAAACCCAGCCAGTAAGGGTAATAGGAGAAAGATCACGGGAAACAGAAGAATTCCACAGAATAAAGAGGTGAGAAAGTAGACTATTCAGATCTGAACAAGAGTGTAAATGGGAAATGGAAGGCAAGGGAAAAGGTGATACAACCTTCATGAGCAGCAGATGTTTTAGGAAGGAAGGAATGATTGTGATAAAGGAGAACATAAGAAGAATGGTAAAGTGTGTGGGAAGCATTAACAGCATAAATATCAGAACGATGATGACCACAAGCAAGGAGGAAAAGGAAACAGGGCATAAGAGAAAGATGGCACAAATAACATGTAGCAATGGGTTCAAGGGGAGAATGAGCCAGGACATGAAGAACCACACTGAGATCCCAATATGGAAGTACAAAGGGATGGGGTAGACAAACAAGATGAAAGGAACAGAAAAGGAGGGAAATAATAGGGAGGAGAAGGATTTACAAAAACGGGAGAAACAGAAGGTGTTAGACAGGGCAACCTGATAACTAGAAACAGTAGACACAGAGAAACCCTGATCAAATAACCAGGTAAAGAACTGGGACAGATGAGGAACAGAAAAATGGGAAAGATGTAAGCCATGGCCTGAAGGCAGACCAATGTCTCTGATACAGAGACAAAGAGGAAGGTTGAATGGTATGAGTAAGCAACGACACTACACGAGGGGTGAATCCCTGAGTGGAGGCAAAGGACTAGACAAAAGCCATGCTTGAAGATGGAGTTTGATTTGATCGAGGTTCACAGAGGAGAGACTTGGACTGAGGTAAGGGCAGGGGCTGTTGCACCAGTAAGAAATAAAGCAGAGGAAACCACGGCTGAGCAGGCCAATACTGATCAACAAGCAATACACAATAAGGAGTGGTCTGCATGAGGGAAACTACTCTGGAGATGGGTCTGATCAAAGGTAAGCATACAGATGAAGGATCTTCCAATCCTGACTGAACACATCCACTCCCAGAGCTGAGGGGTGTGGTATAGGAGACCAAAAGGAAGGAAGTATGGCATTCCAGTGAGAGGCAAACATATCTATATGTGGTGTTCCTAGGCAAGAACACACCCAATGAAAAACCTGAGGATGAAGGGACCACTCAGTAGGAAATACTTGGTTGGGACAGAACAGGTGGTCTGCAACCAGATTCAAAATCCCAGGAACATGACACATCAAGATCATTTATGTTGTAGAGCCCAGTGCAGGAGGTTGAACTGTTTGGTGATATAGCTGATGACAGTGGAATTGTTGGAATGAACCATAACCACCTGCTTCTGCAAGAATGAGAAGAAATGATCGAGAGCCTGATGAACTGCCAAAAGTTCCAGGAGCTTAATATGAAAATATGTTTCCTCGATGTGCCACTGACCTGAAATCTCCTGAGTGGAGAACGAGGCAGAGGAAGTAGAACCCTCACTGTGGTAAGAGTCCAGTTATCTAGCAGAGTCGGTTCAAGACCTTCTTCACAAAGGAGCTATCAGATGGTTGATGCCAATTCTTCCAAGATTCTACTCCCATCTGCTTGTTGTCCCTCAAAATACGGGAGATTGTCTGTCCTGGCTGAATAACTTTCCCTTTGGTGGGTTTTTCCCCAGGTTTTTGGATGACCAAATTGGACATGATAGATGCTTATTTTCACATTCCCGTTGCTTTGGAGTCACGTCCTTATCTTTGGTTCATACACAGGAGGTGTGTTTTTCAGTTCAAAGCACTGCTGTCTGGTCTTGCTTCGATTCCTTATGTGTTCTGTCATGTTGTCTATTCTTTTGAACATCATCTTCACTCATTGGGTCTTCAGACTCATCATTACATGGACAATTGGCTACTGCTCACCTTTTCCCAGGCCTAGTCTGTCGCTCACAGCTGCATCCTACTTAAGGAGTCTGCTCGGGAGGGGTTTCTCACCAAGTCGGAGAAGCCTTTTCTAACAAACACACAATACCTTATTCATTTGAGAGTTCTCTTCAATTCCCAACTCAGTCCAGCCCAGCCTTCTCCACTTCACCTCCAGGATATGGAGCAGATGGTCGCTCAAGCATTATCTTCTCCTTTTCTTACTGCTTGAGAGGTTCTCTCTCTTTTGGGAATGTGAACCTCCCTGGAAGCTCTCATTCCCTTCAGTCAAGTGCACATGCGTTCCCTTCAGTGGATGCTTCTTGATCAGTGTAACTTATTCCATGATCCCTTGGACCATCCTATCACTTTTCCCCCATGGACCAGGCCTGAGGAGGAAAAATGTAAACCAGGATAGAAGATGGGGAGGACTGAAACTCTGTCGTGAAAAGTTCCCAGATGGTGAAAACCATTGTAACCTTGCTCCCACCTGTCCTTGAAAAGACATCCTTTCACCAATAACACTGATCCCTGAAGGAATGGGAAGAATGTCTATAAAGAAGGGAAAGCCTGGAGTATGGTAAGGGATGGAGAGAAGAAGAAGGGGCATGGGGAACACAAACAGGTGAAGATTGGGCAGCAACAGTAGGATGAGATAAATGAGACCAGGGAGGACAAGGAAGACTGTAGCCTCAACACAATGATCCTGGACTCCAAAGCTGACAAATAGGCCATGTTAGACCACAGGAGGGTCCTGAATTCTGTCAAGAACTGACCAGAAGACTGGCGGGAGGCTTGAGATAACAATTGTAATGAGGAAATAACACATAAAAGGGTGGTCAAAGTAAGGCAAATCCTAGAAAACTGGGACCAATCAAAATGAATCAAAGCTTCAGGATTCGAGTCTCACAAGTCCTAATAGGGATTCATGGCATGTTGGTAAGCAAAAGAATACTGGTCCAACAGCCAAGGGGGATGGGGCATACCTCACCTGACTGCAACTGATCAACAAAATATTTAGCATGAACAAGAATGTTGTGTAAGGGAGAAAACAAATAATAATCAGGACAAGGATTGTCACCCAACAAAGAAGAAGAAGAAGAATCAAGGGCTAAAGGTGAAATATAAAATTTGACATATCTGATTAATATGTTGTAAGAAAAGCATGGTTGGCAAACTTTCCTCACTATCAGCATTATTTGACTGTCAAGAAAAACAGAATCAAAATTGTCCTCCGCCTAATGAAAACCTTCCTCAAAGCGTGTTCAAGGGGAAAAGGAGAATGAACCGAAGAACCAGCCAAAGAATCCAACTCCCTGCAGATTAAAGCTTGAATCTCCTTGCAGACATCGCCAACCTGCTGTCCTGCGGACTAGCGACATTACGGTCATCCATATTGGCAGGAACTTCCTCATCCACCACAGTAAAATTCGAATTCATAAGTCAACTTTGACTTCCCAAAAAAAATGTCGGAAATGGTCAAAAACAAGTGTAAATAAAACTTCGAAATTAACAATTAACTCAAAATGTTAAGCTGAAACTGACAAGGAACTACACATGACTGAGCAGGATTCACATACAGAACAAAGTAAACACACGTCTAAACACTGTAGTGCCAATCAAGAAAGTGAGGATTGTGCTGCAATGGTAGAGGGAGCTAACTTTGCTAGTATAGGTGGTGCAGTATGATTGGTGGAGGGTAATCACATGATCAGCACATGTCGCTGCAATGACACAAAAATGAAGGGGTATAAAAAGACTGGTATACTGTTTAAAATTTTGGCAATATTTAGAGGGCAAATCAAGATCGAGTGAAGGTAGTAGCATTTCGGAAAACAAGCAAGAACAAAAAAGCAGGTAGCATGTGTAAAAGTTGTGTATAACATTATGTAATAGTTGAAAAATAATATTCAAGAACTTTTATGGAAAATGTTTTAAATGCTTAATACTACACATTTCTTTGCTGATCACCATCATTAATATTGGCTGGTTTTATAATTCGATATTATGGGGAAATTTTGAGTCTACTTAATCTGACAGTGTTTCCATAAAGTTATGATTTAATTAAATATGCATTTGAGTTTGTTATAATGAGAGTTTACATTGATTTCTAATCTTTAACATGAAAGTGTAAAAGCTATCTAAGTAAAAAGTATTTTATCAATTCAAGGCTGTTTGAAATTGGATCAGGTAGATATGACTCAAAGCATAACAGCGTAAATAACTTATAAACATAACAGGAGGATTAAAATCAGAATAAGTGGAGAAAAAATGAAAATTACCAATATAATAAAGACTCACCTGTATGTGTTCGTTTATGTCGCTGAAGTTCATCAGAACGAGTGAAACGTTTTCCACAAAACAACCAGTTACAGACAAATGGCCTCTCTCCTGTGTGCCAACGAAGATGTGCTCGAAGATGAGATGTCTTACCATAAACTTTATTACAGCCTGGAACATGACAAATATGCTGCTTCTTCTTTGTTTCGCTATTTCTAAGTGACAAATTATCATAAACCAAATATATTTAGATCCAAAGTTATAGATATAGATACAATTTAACAGTGATTTGCAAAAATTATAACAAACAGTAGTAAAATTGTTCATAAATTTTTCTAAAAGTACCAATTAGACTGATAGGTTTTTAAAATTTCATACATAATTAAATGAAAGATACATGGAATTCCCCCCATATTCAAAACTTGTATTTAGTATGACTGTACTGCAGCCACCAACATGAAGCTGTATCCTCTCCAATGGATCTTACTTTTGCTTGTAGTGAAATAGTTTTTACTAGCGATGTTCAAAGTTGCATTAAAAACTTCAGTCCTCATGTTTCTAATAATTTTGTTCAATGGCTGTAATTTTAAAAATAAGATACTTTAGCAAATGCAATTCTCAAGCAATATCTATCAAAAATAACAAGCAGTAATGTTAACTAAATGGAGCATGTTTCTTACCAATGCTTACTTTCTAAGATACCATGGATAGAATTACTAAAAAACTGGTCAGTCCCATCTCCCATCATAAAAACAAATAAATTACATGATAATTTGCAACTTGAACCTGTAAAGGGGTATGGGATATTTGTTGCCCACTTGTAAGCCAAACCAGAAGTTGTTTGTGGAGCAGTTCTTTCTTTCTTCTAGGATGTTTTCAAACATTTATATGTATGAACAGTTATTACAAAATATTCAGCAAGTTTTTGTAGTAGTACAATGAACAAGTGCTTAACAGTAAAAAGAAAGAACAATTTTGTAGAGATTGTGTAGATAAATAAAAGGGGATAATAAAAATTGAAACCAGGATATGAATGCAAGCTAAAAAAGTAATACTTAAAAGCACCTATATACAATCATTAAAGCATACTAGGGAAATAACTAACTAGAAAAACCAGCTATTATATAGTCTGAATAAACAACTTTCCTTTCTTTGTTGTGAGTTTCAATCATGCTAAGGTAACATACTTGCAAATGGAATTGTACATAAAAAATAAACCTGATATGCATAATATCTTCCACATAGTAAAATTGTACCACTTATTCATTTCAGTTACCTTAAACTATATATATATAGTTGGAGATTAGCTCTGTCCATGACTCTTAAACCCAGTTAGCTCCACTAATAGGTTTTGTTCTTATGATATTTTGGCTATGTACAGGTGTTTGGATGGTTTTGGGATTGTTTACAAATGCTTTGGGGGAAAATGGCTATGAAAATAACATTGTATTGCTTTCAAATTCGATGACGAGGAACATAAACAAACGAAAAATCAAGGTATCCATCTTAATTGAACAAAACAACCCTACTCTAAACCA